CATCGCGAGGGGTCCAAAGCAATAGGGATCGGACATTTTAATCTACCATTATGTGTCCCTGCAGCCTGTCTGCGTGCCTCGCCTATATATATATACCTATATAAAATATATATTATACACACACACACTCATGCGCGCAAACACGGGCGTGTAGATGACTTTATCCTTGTATATACGCGTCGATAGAGAGTATTGTGGAGAGCGTCGGGTGAATGCGAGAGAGTGTCTCGGATAGTGCTGCCGGAGAGGGTGCAATAGTCCACGGGTCGGTGACGGGGGAGGGGAGTGTGAAACACTCATACACGAAGTATAAAAAAAAAGAGAGTGAGAAAGAGAGGAAAAAGAGTAAAAATAAAACACAATGGGGGTCCGCCGGTCACGGCGTTATCGGGGGAGGTGGCGGGCTGCAGGGGCTTGCAGGCAGTGGCAGTGAGTGGCAGTCGGCTGATAATAATGATGGATTATGAGAGACCCCGCGCGCGAGAGAGTTTCCCCCCGGGGGCGACCCGGTGCATGTGCGCAGAAAGTGGCGTGTGTATTATTATTATTACACACACACACACACACACACACGCACAATCATTTATATATACATATACAGGGACCCGCGAAAACCTACGTCAAAACTGCTCTACGACCTTTGCACGTCGTGCCAACAGCTCCCACCTAAATATATATATATATATTATACGTATAATATATGTAYATACCTACAGCTACCGTGCTCTATATATATTAAGCCGCCTGTTATGTTATATTTATTATTATATTTCAGAGGAAATTTTTCACTTATTTTGGTTATATATTTTTTTCTTTCGTCATTTCGTTCGCCCCTTCGCCACTACYATTATTTTCGCGCGTTATTTTCATCATGTGATGTGTTTTGGCGGGCGCACGTTCGAAATCAAATTCTTTAATAATAAAAATATTATAWTTTATATAATATTTAGTTAAATAATTATATCTGGATACGACGATAAATCCTAGAGGTATTCAAAATTGTTTCATTCCATACTTCCTTCATTGTTATGAATTAAAGGACACGGAAAGAAAACGTTTCAATGTTTAATTCTATTATAAATACATAAATAATTATATCAAGACAACAAATTTAATAACAATAATTCGTAGAAATCTGATATTAAATGTTTTACGTTTAAAATAAAAGAGTATATTAATTATATTAATATACATTAAATTCAAATTTTTACAAAATACCGAAAATTTGCCAACCACTTTTCTGAGCTAGTATTTAATAATTTAATAGAAGATTCCTCATAAATTTTTCTTCCTTTAAAAAAAAAGTTTAGCGGAATGTAAAAATACATATTTTTTTTTTTTAATTTTAGTATACTATCACTCCGCTCAGAATCGTTTTTTGTATACAGTTATTTATCATTGAATTCAAATCTAACACATACATCACAACTATTGTACAGAAGAGTCATCTTTTATTCTTTGGAAGTCTATAAAAGTACCAAATTTAAAGATTTAAATTTGTAGAAATCATCCTAGGAATTTAAAAATGGATACAGTTTTCTGCAATAAAAGTATCTCTCTCTAAAACATCACAAAAAAAGAAAAACACAAATCATTGTAAAATCAATACATTCATTGCGCCCCTCAGAATCTAAAATTGAATGGATTAATAAAAAATGGATTTCTTTCATGATATTTTTATACATCACAAATCGTCCAACACATTATTATTTTTTAATAATTCTATTAATTCTTCATTATTCACATAATATTTAGTTGGCTGCATGATCCCAAAAAAATTGTGGAATCGTATAGATTTTAATAACTTTGTATATAATATGTAATTATCTCTGCAAACACAATTCCATGGTTTAAAATGCATCGATACCATGCTAAAATGTGATGGCCATATAGGTACAAATTCAATTATATTATTTTAACTTAGGTACATATTATTTGATGCAATAAAAAATTCTGCAGTTTTGAAAACCATACTTTCAGCCTATATGATTTTAGTTTACACCTGTCTTTATACATCAGTGGACTTATCGTA